AGCTGTGGGAAGATTTCAAAAATATCGTTAATGACTAATGAAAAAAAGTCACTACAAAAATGGAAGAAAAAGAAAAGACCAAAATGGATGTCAGAAGAGACTCTGACTGTTGCTCTAGAGTGCCGAGAAGCCAAAGCTAAGGGGAAAAATAAAAATCAAGAAATTAAGGAGCTGAATAGAAGATTTCAAAAGGCAGCTGAGGAAGAAAGACAAGGCAAAGTATTATGATGAAATGTGCAATCATCTGGAGTCGGAAAAATAAAAAAGGGCTGAACTCGCTCAGCATTTCTTAAGCTGAAGGAAGCAAAGAACAAATTCAAGCCATGAGTTGCAAGGCTTAAGGATGCTTTGGGCAGAATATTGAATGATTCAGGAAGCATTAAAAGAAGATGGAAGGAGTATACAGTCATTGTACCAAAAAGAAGCGGCCTGACACAGAAGAATTTCAAGAACCAACATATGATCAAGAGACAACGGTGAAAAAAAGAGGAAGTTCAGACTTCTCTAAAAGGCTTAGCAAGAAAGAAAGCCCTAGGAATTGATGGAATACCAATTAACCTATTTCACAAAGAGATGCTGCCCTAGTTGTGTTCACCAAGTTGTGCCAAGAAATCAGGAGAACAATTACTTGGCCAACTGACTGGAAGAGATCCATATTTATTCCCAGTCCAAGAAAAAAAAAAGTGACCCAACAGACTGTGAAAATTATTGAACAATATCACTAATATCACACACTAGCTAAATCCTGCAGAAGATTATCCAGAAATGACTGGAACAGTGCATTGACAGAGAACTACCAGAAATACAAAGAAGAGGTCGTCGCACTAGAGACATTATTGTTAATGTCAGATGGATCTAGGAAGAAAGCAAAGAGTACCAGAGGAATATCTATCTGTGTTTCATTTATTATGCAAAGGCAAAAAATTATGGCTAACCTTGAGGAAAGGGGAATCCTAGAACACTTGATTGTGTTTATGTGAAACCTATACTTGGACCAGGAAGCAATCCTCAGAACAGAGCAGGGAAATTCAAAATCAGGAAAGGAGTGCATCAGGGATGCATCCTGTCTCCATATCTTTTCAATCTACATGCAGATCATTCAGGAAGGAGGCCTTTATGAGGAGGAACTTGACATCAAGATTGGAGGAAGAGTCATCAACAACCTACATTATGCAGATGACACAACCTTGCTTGCTGAAACGGAAGAAGCCCTGAAGTGCTTGCTGCAGAAGTTCAAGGACTGTAGTCTTCAATATGGATTGAAGCTCAACATCAAGAAGACAAAGATTCTCACCACTGGAGTGGCAGCACTATGATAGATGGAGAAGAGATTGAGATTGTTAGCAATTATAGCTTGCTCGCCTCCACAATCAACACTCTTAACACCAGCAGTCAGAAAATCAAAAGACGAACTGCATTGGGAAAATCTGCTGTCAGGAACCTCTCTAGAGTTCTGAAAAGCAATGATGTCAGTCTAGAGACTAAGGTGTGCCTACTCCAGGTCATGGTCTTTGAAATTACTTGTTATGCATCAAAGACTCGGACAATGACTAAGGATGACAGAAGAAGAATTAATGCCTTCAAGTTGTGGTGCTGAAGAATAGTCTTGAACGTACCATAGACTGCCAAAAAAACAAATAGGTCTGTCTTGGAGAGGGTGAAACCAAGTTTCTCCTTGAAGGCTAGGATTTGGAAGCTCTGTCTCTCATGCTTTGGGCACGTGGCCAGGAGAAACCAGTCCTTGGAGAAGGAGATCATGCTTGGAAGGGTGGAGGGAGAGCGTAGGAGAGGAAGACTCTGGATGAGAAGGATTGACGCTATAATTGGGGCAATGGAAGTTGGTGTGTTGGAATTAATGAGACTGGCTCAGGACAGGGCAAGCTTCAGGGCTGCTGTACATAGGGTCTCTATGGGTAGCAGGCGACTCGACCACACATGACGACAACAACAACAACAACAAAACATATAATGAATTCTTGTTGGTAGAAATATTGAAATATATGTACCAACCATGAAATCTGATGATGACAATACTTCTACCAACCTTTATAGTCTAAAATTGATCAAACATGCAACCAAGATGCATTAACAATAATTGATGACTGGAATGTGATGTTGGAAACAGAAGAAGAAGAACTGGAAGTTGGAAAATATTGGATGGGTTACAAAAATAAGGCTGGAGATAGAATTATAGAATTTTGAACAATGAATGATTAATTAATTAAAAATATTTGTCTTAAAAAACAAAACACCTCTAAAGAGTGTTTATATGTTTGGACTTCACCTGATGGAGTATTTAGGAATCAGATTGACTACATCTGTGGAAAGAGACGTTGGAGAAACCCAATATCAGCAGTCAGAACCAGGCCAGGGGCTGACTGTAGAACAGACTGTCAATTATTCATGTGCAAGTTGAAACTGAAGTTGAAAAAAACAAACAAAAACAAGTCCATGAGGATGCAATTTGACCTTGAATGTATCCCAATTGAATTTGAATGCTAATGATCAAAGACCTGGCTCGTTGTGGAATAATATTAAGTATATCATCTATGAAGAAAGTAAAAGTGGTTACAAAGAGAACTGAGGTGGGGGAAAGATAAAACTTATTGTCAGAAGAGACTCTGAAATTTGCACTGGAATGTAAAGAAGTCAAAACAAGGCGAAGGAATGCTGAAGTAATAGAATTGAACAGAAGATTTCAAAGGGCAGCTTGAGAAAATTAAGCAAAACATTATAATGTTATGTCCAGGGAGCTGAAGTTAGAAAACCCAAAAGAAAAAACATACTCAATATTTCTTAATCTGAAAAAAAAACTGAAGGAAAAAAATTCATCCCTTAAGTTAGAACACTGAAAGTTTCTGTGGACAAAATCATGAATGACCCAGGAAGCATCAAAAGAAGATGGGAGGAATACACACAGTCACTATAACAAAACAACTGGTGGGCCAATTTTTGGTAAATAACGGAACATTTTGGAAAGCAGCAAGTAATCAAGAACCGATAGCACAAACGTCCATCAATACACAACTGGATTGAGAAACTGTGGTGCATTCACACAATGGAATACTACGCAGCACTCAGGAGCAACGATTTTGAAAAAAAAAAACTACTCTGTAACCCAGGAGAGGGTAGGGAGCATTATGCTGCATGAACTACCTCAGGAGCATGAGAGCAAATACTGTATAAGCCCATTATTGTAAAAACAGAAGGATAACCAGTGAGATGCGAATGGATATACAAATGATTTTTAGCTGATGTTCATGAAGAAGAATGAGTACTTAGAACCGAACTGCTAACGAAAGGAAAATCTACCTAAAAAGATGCATTTCTGTACTAGAGCTATGTCACAGTGCCATATGGTCCCTCTGCTGGAAAAGTAGAATCAAGTCTCAAATAATGCCTTTTTACTTCTATCCTCTTGTATTAAAGATATAGGATCGTAGTGTATCATACTTCTGTGAATATAAAATATAAAATGCCTCCTTGTAGCTGCTTTATGATATGTAATAGTGATCATGCTGGTTCAGAGCTGGTTTTAAATAATGATGTTATTCTAGAATGTTTTCTTTCCAAATGATGATTGAGAAGTTTAAAAAAGATGATTGAGAAGTTTAAAAAAACATTGTGCCTGGTCACCACAACAGTAACAGAACTTCGCTGTTTTATGGGGTTTTGTTTCATCTTTTTTTAAATGGCGTGTGCTGGACGTCTCTGTCATTTTGGTTCTCATGACCACAGGACTTGGAAAAGCTGTTGTTGCTATCGATGCATGACACACTGTGATTGGTCTTTTTAGGTAAATAAATGAACGTATAGAATTTGAAATTTTGGAAACTTCATCTGTGCTGTCAGCTTTGGAAAAAGTATCGCAGTTGTACCATGTTGAATTGGCATTGTGCAGAAACTAACAGTCATGTTGGTCTAGATGCGTAAAACTTAATTTCCCCCCCCCATTTGTACAGGGATAATGCACTTTATAAAATATATAAGGTACACTGTGGCAATTAGACAATTAAAACAGACATTCGGGGGGTGGGGAAGAAGAACGAACTGGGGAGGAGGGTAGAGAAAACAGTGCAACAATGACTGAATGAAAACCCAAAATCTCTGCAAATGTTCACTAAAACGAAAAAATTTAATAATAATAATGAAAAAATAAATATGTAAGGTTTTATTTACATGGGTTTGATTACAGAAACTAATATTCTATTAAAAAAAAAAAAAGAAAACCACAAGTACCAGGCAACCTCCAGGAAGGGTATCTTGCTTTCAAGAATGTAGTTGAGGATGGGTAGGGTGGAAACTACAGGATTGTACAATTTGATGGCTGGAGGGAGGGGGTAAAGGAAATGGGAAAGATCTGGTGGGGACCTAATAAAACAGAGTAATGGTGAGCATAGTCCAATGTTTTTTATAAAACACAATGAATGGGAATAATTCTATGAAACATAGTATCAATGAAGGAAAGTGTGGGGAAAATCTGAATAATAATAATAATAATAGTAATAGATTGCAGTTGAAAATAGATTACAAAAGAAAAGAGATTAAAAAAGAAAAAAAAAAGAGAAGTGCAGTTTGTCCTCTGTAAGGAACAATGAAGCTGAAAGCATATTTTTTTTCCAGTTCAATGCACAACACTTTATTTTTTTTAATTTTATTTTATTTCATTATTTTTTGTGTGTACCGTCAAATCAGATCTGACTGGTACAAGAGGAGATTGTTCCTCCTTCTCCAGCAGAGCATCTGGTGGATTTGAACAGTGCACCTCTGAGACTGTAGTTGCAGCTTCTTGCCACTAGGCCACCAGAGCTCGCCCACAAGACTTTATTGAGGGCTCAGGGCCATGGGGCTCAGAAGAAGGCTACCTGCAAGAGGCAAGGGAGCCTGTGAAGAGGGGGCTCTTACTTTACCTTCTTCCTGGTGTGCAGGTTGTTGGCGTGCCCACACTTCTTGCAGCACAGGGATGCAGGTGAATATAACACTTGTGGCAAATCATCTTGTCAGTTAAACTTCTGGGCGAGCCGGCACAAGGAAGGCTCGATAACGCCACCATGCAGACGCAGCACCTGATGGAGGGTGGACTTTTTCTGGATGTTGTAGTCTGAGAGTGCACGGCCATCCTCTAGCTGTTTGCCCGCAAATATCAGATGAATATCAGGGAGGACCTGGAGCGCTTGCTGCAGAAGGTCAAGGCCTTCAGCCTCCTATATGGACTGAAGCTCAACATCAAGAAAACAAAGATTCTCACCACTGGGCCAATTGGCTCCATCAGTATGGATGGTGAAGAGATTGAGATAGTTAACAGCTTTAGTTTGCTTGGCTCCACAATCAACACTCTTGGTAACAGCAGCCAGGAAATCAAGAGATGAATTGCATTGGGAAAGGCGGCTCTGAGGGACCTCTCAAGAGTACTGAAGAGCAACTATATCAGGCTGGAGACTAAGGCCCTCCTGATCCAGGCTATAGTCTTCACAAGTATGTGCTATGCATCAGAGAGAAAGAGAATTGCTGCCTTTGAGCTGTGGTGCTGGAGAAGAGTGTTGACTATACCGTGGACTGCTAGGAGAACAAACAGGTTTGTCCTGGAGAAGGTGAAGCTGGAATGCTCCTTGGAGTCAAGGATTCTGAAGCTTCATCTGACATATTTTGGGCATGTTGCAAGGAGGGACTGGTCCTTGGAGAGGGACATCATGGTTGGGAGAGTGAAGGCGTGGCGAAGGAGAGGAAGACCCTCAATGAGATGGATCGATTCTGTGACTGGAGCGGTGGGAATAAGTGCATTTGAGATGACTAGGTTGGCACAGGATAGAACAGCATTTAGAGCTCTAGTACATAGGATCGCTATGAGTCACAAGTGACTCAATGGCACACAACAACAACAACAACGACATCAGACATTGCTGGTCAGGAGGGATGCCCTCCTTGTCTTGGATTTTAGCTTTGACATTCTCGATGGTGTAACTGGGCTCAACCTCAAGAGTGATAGTCTTCTTGCCAGTCAGGGTCTTCACAATGATCTACATCTCTGCGTCTGCCACTGGGCCACCTCGTTGAAGAGAAAAAGTGAAAGCAGATTTTTTTTTTTTGAAAGCAGATTTTTTAAAAGCCAGAGAAAGATTGACACACAGATAGGATCAATTTTGGAGGTTTAGAAGGGAGGAGACAGGAGGGGTAGGGAGCAGAGATAATAAATAGAGTGATGGGGAAGGCAACAGGGCAAAGTACAATGGAGATTTTGTGAGACATGGTAACTTAGGTATCACAGTTAATTACATAATGATGGGCAAGGTCCAATGGTAGTTCATTTTGTAAAACATAATGTGTGAGAATGCTTATATGAAACACAATGTGAATCAAGAATAATGTGAAACAAAATGTATATGAACATTGTAAGCAAATCAATAAAAGATAACAATAATAAAAAATAATAACAATAATAAAAAAATCCAACCCAAAGCCAAAATGTATGTGAACAGTTGAATGAAAAAAGGGATATATGATTAGGTATTTGTGTCATGACAGGAGTCCAGGATGAAAGCAGCCTAGTGGAGTGGACTTGGGGAAAGGGATTGTATAACAATGAAAGAATTTTACTTTTCAAAGAGAAGAGCAAACTGGGTGGGGAGGAGAGGTTGGGCAGGGAGAAAAGTGCAACAATGAATGAATGGAAATTCAAAGTCTCCGTGAACTTTTATTAAAATTAATTAGAGAGAGAGAGAGAGAGAGAGAATTTGGAAAAAAGAAAGTAATGGAAAAGTCCTTGAATTCATCCACAAAGACTTGAAATCTGCGGTCTGGCTCTGCCCCTCATCCCACATGGGCATCTGGCCCAGTTGTTATCACTGAAACACCATCCATCCCAGAATCTGCCGGCATCGTCTTTACTGGTGCCTCTTTATTTGTACCCCATTTGCCTTCTTAATCAGGCACCAGATGAAGGTGACAGACGTGTCTAGTGTCTCCTGACAACAGGCTCTGGATTTTTACCAGGACCCCTCCCTAAATCCTCACGCCTTTGGTGTGAGCTGGCCCCACCCTAGAACTAGGACTGACTCCACCCAGGTCTATCAAAAAACCCGAAACCCAATCTGTTACCCTGAGTGGACTTGACTCTTCAATGCCTAGCCTTTATCAGGGTCGGATTGAGGGTCCTGGGTGTTCAGGGGCTGCTATTTATTTTTTCATTTTTTAAAATTAATTTTAATGAAAGTTTACATTTCCATTCATTCATTGTTGTACTTTTCTCCCTGCCCACCCCTCCCTTCCCCCAATTTGCTCTTCTCTTTGAAAAGTAAAAGAAAAATTCTTTCATTGTTATACAGGGGCTGCTATTTCTAAGTAGATCATCAGGCCTCTTCCTGACGCATCTCTGGCTGAACGCGAACCTTTCAACTTTGAATCACCAACCAAATGCTTAACCGTTTGTGCCACCCAGGGACTCATAAAATTGAAAAGTCTCATTGCAGATAGAAATTGAGAGGAACAAGGAAAGGTAACATACTCTCCCCCTTGTCCCACAAAACCCCACCTCGCACACACAAAACACCTGATTGTTCACACTACATATTTCTCAAAAGAGTTTAATAAAGAAAAGTTTGCATATAACCCACCATATCATTGTTCAGAACAGACACACAGGGTCCACATTGACATGAAATGCTCAGGGCTGTTTGTGAAGATTTCTCAGGGGACTCAGTGTCTTTAGCACATATTTTTCCTTTAGGTTTCAGATTGTTCTTCTTGGCTCCTTGCTGTCTCCCTGGCCAGCGTGTCTGCTCTCAGGGCATCCATCAGCCTTTCTCTTGCTTTCTTCACTCTCTGGATCTGTTTCCTGATGTCCTTGTAAGTTATCTGTTGTTCCTGGAGGGGAAATGAGAAAGGCACACCCACCCCTGGTCTAATCTCTGCCACGTTTGAAGGTTGGTCCAGCCTCTCAGCATTACCCAGTGGCTCCCTGGGACCATTTGGTGCTCTTGTCCTTAATACATTTGCAAAATCCAAAGTATTCAGTGGCTCTCCGGAACTGCTGCAGGCCTGGAACTCTTGCAACCGCTTGTATGCACACACTTGCTGGATCTTCTCCAAGTTTTCCTCCCCTTTTCTGTACCTGACCTTATTTCCTGGATGGGATGTGACTTTAGTAACAGGACTTCGAAATATATTCCTGGTCACCCTGAGAGGGAACTCAGAGCACGATGTAAATTTTGACTTGGTGGCTGATGCACGTGCTTTTTGTTTCTTCTTTAAAGGCTGTGGCATCATATTTCTTTTCAGCTTTCCCTTTAAATATTAAAAAAAAAAAGAAATGAGTCACAGATTCTACTAAAAGGATGACTATTGTGCGATCACCACTAACATGTGAGATCTCGCTCTGGTGGCCTAATGGTAAGGAGTTGCACTGTAATCCCAAAGGTACGCGGTTCGAATCAATTAATTGCTCCTCAGGAGAAGGATGGAGAATCTCCTTTTGTGTAATTCACAGCCTCTGAAAACTTGGAGGAGGGTCAGCAATGAGTCGGTTCCAATTTGATGGTACACAGTGACGACAACAAAGGCACATGTATAGAGATCAGGGTTTGTTGGGCTACTACTAAGGGGAAGATAAACAGCACTTATAAAATCAAACATCATATTGCAATGTACAAATCTGCTTTCTAGGACTTCTTTATTTTTTTAAATTATT